AGCAGATTTTCAAAGCCAAACATAACTGTTAATTGAAATTATTTGTTCCTCATTACACGGGTGGAAAAGGGTAGATGGGTCTGCGAGCAGTCCTGGGAGCAGGCAAAAGTGCTTTTTGTAGCAGGCCTGGAGCAGCCAGAAAGACACTTTAGAAAAAACTTGGAGCAGCCAGGAGGGCTATTTCAAGCAAGTTTAGAGCAGTAAGAACACTCAGAGCAGATGTAGCCCCGTTCAAAGCACTATTCAAGCAACATTTGTTCAATGCTGTATTTTTCAAATAATCAGCTAAATTGTGCGACCGCCTCATTATTGCGACAGAAACTATACGGACACTCTCGGGTGTTTCCCGCTGCAGTCGTGTCCCGTAGCGTCGCCGCGGTTACTGGCACACACGCTAGCTTGGCAGCCATCAGCAGGTGGCTCGCATACACTTTTTCATGCTGCACTCTCATCGCAAAAAGACTGAGTGAATAGTGTTGATCTCCTCGCGATGGCCTATTCTTGTACGCCAGCGTTTTTTACAGTTACGTGAGATCGGATACAAAACAGTTAATTGCCAGCCTCACTTCGTATAACATTACAACTTGCTTCTATCACATTCATTGGGTTGCCCTCGCAGTGCAACTGTGATATTTTCAGTCATGCACAGTCTCCGATTTTGTTCTTAACCTGAACGCGCAAGCGTCCACTGCCGAGTCGACAAATGTGAAGCACAGCGACCAAATGAACGAGAATACGCACATGTGCTCTTAAGCAGTTGTGTGCACCTGTCTTCGAAGCTAGGCTGTTCCGGGAATCGGACACCACCCCCACTTCTTTTGCGCAATGTCACTTCCACCATTTTTTTTTTTAGACAGTGCCATAAGGTTATAAAAAAACAATTTCACTGGAAGGGCAAAACAATGAATGTGATAGCAACAAATTGTAGGGCTGGCAGCGAACTTTTTAAGATCGGATATTGTGTAAGTATAGACAACAGTGCTGTAAGAGAGTACAGCTGGGCCAGAGAAAGATGCTTTTTTCCCAGCTTCTTCACCTTGAGAGTGCAGCACGTAGCAGGGTTATCGAGTCATTCATGCTGATGCCTGCTGTGATCCCGACCGTGCTCTTAGAATAAATGTTCACAGCTGTTGCTGGAGAGATCACAGCCTTTACGACACCGAAACTGTAACAGTTTCGATGAAACAAAAAGACGGTGTTTCGGCCACGTTTCCAGTGCATCTGGCGACTAAATTCTGCTGATTGATTGATTTGATTTGTGTGGTTTAACGTCCCAAAACCACCATATGATTATGAGAGACGCCGTAGTGGAGGGCTCCGGAAATTTCGACCACCTGGACTAAATTCTGCTGCTGTGGCACAGTATGGCTCTGAGAATGAGAGTTTGGCGCAGCAAGGGTGGTTCGGCACAGGATGATGCAGGTAAACAAGCTTGGCGGACAATGGTGCGAATTGTGCAGCTGTTCCACCTCTGCCATTAATACAAAAAAATTATGTGAAGGTACTTAGTATGCATCCAGACGTGATCAATCGACCAGATTAACCCCAAATTATACCTAGCTCTCTCTCTTGCTGTGTGTGTGCACACAAACACACGAGCGCGAGCGCACTCGTGAGTTGCCATCATTAAAATGCCACTGATGAGAGAGCAGCAACTCGGTGAAAACAAGAGATAAGTGGTGCTTTCGATAGCTACACTTCAATAGAACTTTTCATGTTAACAGACCCTTTCGCTGTTTACGAACAGGGGTGCTGGACGGCTTCCGGTTTTGTGCACCAGCATACCCTAGGACCATTGGCCGGGGAGAGAGGGGGGGGACGAATGCTTTAGCAAATAGCCCGCTAATTTTCAACAATTTTCTCCTCTTTGTCTGGCCAAATAATTCGAATACATTTTCTTCTAAGCTACAAACACCATTATAGGAGTTAGCCGTTAACTTTAAGCGCCTTCCTTTTACCAGAAAGTGGAAAAAGAGTTTTTGCTTTCTCTGGCAAAACTAAAAAACAACAACAAGCTTTCTGCTTGAGCGTTAAAGAGTGGTAATTGAAGTAACCGGCAGTTTCTTGGGAAGAAACAGAAGCTGCTGCTATTGCTATGTTGACACCAACCGAAAAGGTGTATAAAGCACCACCCTTGCCATCAATAACAGCTGAAGGCTAGAGTTAAGCCAAAAAAAGTTACCATTGCTGTAAATTTGATGAGACTCACTAAAAATCATTTCCCCATAAAGTCCAAATTTTCAGTCTCAACTTCCTGCTACCATTTTCTGATTAAGTCCAAATCGATAACATCGCACCACACATCGTATGTTCTACGCTCTGGTAAAAGTGCGTGAGCACTGAGTATGAATGCGGCCGAAGCGGAAAGGAAACGAGCCGGCTACCTTCGCTGTACGAAAGGTGCACGCAAAAACATTATCTCGCGTGCGAGGCCTGCCATCGACTGCTCCTCAGGCGGAGAGGAAATGCATCGCCTGTGTTTTGTCTGGTGAAGGGCGGTGCTGCATCGCTCTAACTGCAACGGGAAACGATAATCATCATGGTAGCTATTGCTGATGTGTGCGCTATCTTAGCAGGCATCGGCGATCTGCCAGTTCACTACCCGTTGATATGACTGGCAGCAACCGAAAACCGCTTTGATCCTGCAGCAGTCATATCCCCTTACACCAGCATTTCGTTGAACTACAGGACAACATACCGGAAAGCATTGGTTGCTAGCCTTACCTCATATAACATTATAATATCTTGCTAGCGCATTCAGTGCATCGCACTTGCGATGGAACAGATTTTTTTCGAGCAGTCACCAACGTTATGGCGAGCAAATCAGGTGATAATGATGACAGGAGCTCGTATAGGTGCACCACGTCGCGAATGACAGACATGAAGGCAACATGAGACCATTTGGGAACAGTTTCAGCGCAATAATGCGCTTCGAAGCAGATTGGCGCAGGAAAAGTGAATTGGCACAGCATGGCCCAAACGGCGCATCACTTCTACCCCTGTAATGTGCAAGCAATGCGCTACAAAAGTGTTTTTGTATTAGATCCCCATTGCGATGTCCCCTCTGAAGCTGAGATCAAGCCTTTGACTTCATGCTTGAAAGTAGCTATGCCATTTGAGAGAGTAAACTAATTTAGTGTGTCTGGTCATCCTTGGTAGCATTAATTTAGGAAATCAAATGCACAAGAATGTCTGAGAAACAGACACAAATATAGAATTAAACTCAACATGGGCAAGTGCAGATGTGGTACAATTTTTCCGATGAAGTGCAAAAAAATTCAGTTTTAAATGTTTGACTTCAAGTTTGTTGTGTTTTATAAAAAGCTAGAGGCACATGCACATAATGCGGTAGAATGCACATAGCCCTTAAGCAGAATCAAAAGCCCGTCATTGCATGCACTTGCATAATCAAAGTAGTGCATGTTTGTTACTAATGTAAATACTAAATAATAAATGAGGTTTGATATTTGACAGCTAAAACGGAAACCATGAGGGAAACTTCAGCGACAGCTCTGGTGTAGTCTTGACCAAGTGGTACTCCTTTAAATGCCCTTACTTTAAAAACATTGGGCATTTTGTGCATCACCTTCAACTATGCCACAAGGAAATAAACCTTTCTTCACATAAAATTAGTTATTTCAAACTATCCTAGAATGCCTGTTGCAAGTACAGTTGCGAAGTGTCTCCACTATGCCATAATTCCTTCTTGCAAAGTTCCCACTACACATCTATAAAATGCCAAGAGCACCTGGCATCTGCACACATTGTAATGGGTGGGCAGCTTTAAACCACTCATTCATTGTGCAATTCACATGTTTTGATGCTTGTGCTACTCCACGATTCTGGTACGCAATGATTCACATGTTTTGATGCCTGGTGAGATGCTAAAATTTTGGTACGCAGTATTATGTACGTTGAGGAGCCTCCTCCCACTACATGACATTCTTGTAGCATTTTTTACAAAGCAGTTTCAAGCAATGGTGTGGCTCCAGATACAACACCTGCTTGCCACACGGAAAGCTAGAACTCGTTTCTCACCGCAGGTCACGGGTTCGAATCCCGGCTGCGGCGGCTGAATTTCCGATGGAGGCGGAAACGGTGTAGGCCCGTGTGCTCAGATTTGGGTGCACGTTAAAGAACCCCTGGTGGTCGAAATTTCCGTAGCCCTCCACTACGGCGTCTCTCATAATCATACAGTGGTTTGGGGACGTTAAACTCCACATATTATTAATTATTATTATTAGAGCTCGTTTCTCACTCAGACTGGAAATTTTTCATCATTCATTGGCATCTACCTAGAAATTTTTGCTCCCGAACAGCAGCGATTTTTGACTCACAACCAACACCGCCGCAGACAACGGCGTGTGAAATGAGTTCTTAACACCATTGTGTTAACCTCCTTGTGTTCTGGCGTGGCCTGAAGCTTAGCTGCGGAATGTCATAGAGCAAGGCACAACAGCGAGCAGTAAGCAAGCCTGGGCTTTCATTCTAAGCATTGCTCTCATAATGTGTAAACCAATGATGGTCTTCTGCAATATGCATTGCTCTGGTTTGCTTTCCCTAAAAAGAGCCACATTTGCTTTGGCTAGACAAATAAATGTCTTTCAGGGGTCATAAATAAAGCATTTTACAATGTTCAGTGATTTCGATACTAAAATAATGTCATAAGACTATTTAGAGAAATGACCAAAATAAAGAAAGCATGAAAATTTGTATGCCCAATGATGAAACTGTCAATAAAGATAAAAATTAGCAGGAATCCGAGAGACCAAGGCTGCATTACAAAGCAACCAGTGTCGACAAGCTTATACAGAACAATGCTACCAAAAACAAGGGTCCCGTAAAAGGAGACTGACAAAGTACTTCTCGTAGTTCCTCGTTTGTTTTGTGTTACTGTATCCTACAAATGTATTATACCAACGTTCACAAGCTTCTACATTAGCAGTATCAACAACCTTAGTGCATTGAGAAATGTAGCCAGAACATGCATGAACACTTACAATGATACAGTAATAAATTCAAAGCTCCAGTTAGAAAAGCCAATGTCCAGCGCACTGGCTACTCCTGTGATCGCCAGCTGCTTGACGTAAACTGCCCAGCCAAGCAGAATGCGGGGCTTCCCAGTGAAGATCTGGTATGCCAACCGCAACAACCCTGACAGCACAAACTTCACCACTAGGTGGCAGATGACCACTGTCAGGGGGAAGCGGAACTCCTGTAAAGAGCACAACCAGAAAAAGTGAATTGTAAAAGATGCTAACAGAATACAAAGCCATGACCCTTCAATCACACCTGAACAGACATAGTCAAGCACATAGTGTGTTCATGAGAAAAGAGAAAAAAGAAAACTGAAATTCAGCAGTAGCACAAAACTACGAAAAGCTTTTGATGAGTAATCCCCCCAGCACACAATTTCTTTCCATAAGTAACAGTTTCAATCACAACAGGATTGGCTAATATAGGTACAGGTCAATATAATGCCAATGCAAGATATTTAAAAAAAGTCCTGCATACAAGTCCCTGACATAAGCTCGTGAAATATATTGCCTAAGCCATAAAAAAAAAAGCAGTGACATGAAAATTATGCTACCATGTTGCTGAATGAAAAAAATATAGTCAAGGTAATTACAATTAAGAAATTCTATGAAACTACTAAATAAGAATGAAACCCCCTTCTAATGACACCACATAACAGTTCCTTTATAATAACTGCTTCAGAATTATGATAAATGACAGATAATGATAAATTAATAAAGTATGGACAAGTTATCTAGAAACAAAATGAAGAAAGTTCAGTCATTTCGAAATTTGAAACCTGTCATTTCAGAAATTGATGATTCAAAAAACTGTGACATCAGTGTGTTGAAAAAAAAAAAATCATGCACTAAAAGAATCAAGACCTTTTGAAACAATGCAGCAGTAGCATTGGGAATTGTGATGTAAAAGTTACACATAGACGGTCGCACTGGACGAAGAAGAAAAGCCAAGGGAATGATGTGAAGTAAAGGGAAAGCAAGAAGCACCAAATGTGACAGGTCAGAGGAGAAGAAAACAGGTTCATAGAACTCAATTATGACAAAGATATGGCATCAGTGTACAGCCTTTAGTGACTAAATCAGCAAAAGAGAAGCACTAAGGTTTTTTTTGCTTATCTGTAATGCAATGGAAGCTTTTGTTGTTTGTCTTTGCAGTCCTTTGACCAGTTCAATTTTACTGGAAAAGAAAAAGAAGTGCCTAAATTGATGTACCCTGACATGTATGGTTTAAAAGAAACAACACGAATGCACCCTGCCATCAGCCTTCACTATGCTGCCAGAGTAGACAATATTTTTATTTTGTTGGTGTAGCCAGTCTGGCACACTAATGAAAACAAGCTCAGAGACAAGACTTGAAAAGTAGCTTCAGGCCCCGCCACAGCTGCTCTGTCAGGCACATCAAAACTCCATCCCGCCCATGAACACAAGTAGCACAAGGCAGCTCAAGTCCTCGTGAGCTATGAATCAAGATGCAAGTATGGTCTGAATGTGACCAGCTGCATAAGTATGGGAATTCCACGTCATGCTAATGTGCAAAAACATGTGTCGTATCGTATTAAAAGACTGTAATGCAACTCCCGGAACAAATTGTAAGGACAGAAACAGAACATTTTTTTAAAATCTTCAGTGTCTTAGCAGAACTGTGTGGGCTGAAATAGGTCTACAACCTTGTCACCTGGTCCGATCACAAGACCCTCAAAAGGCTACAACCTGTACAAGAAGCTGTGGATTTTCTTCAATGATCTTGATCAAATTACCAAGATGAGGCGAAGCTTGAGAACTAATGAACCAAATTAACTCCTGATTTTTTTTTTCTTCTTTCAACCATACAATTTCTCTGCCAAAGAGATTTTCATCGCAGGAACATGGCTGCGACTTCAGATGCAAAAAAAAAAAGGACAATTGCAATAAAATCATACAAACATCATAGCCTCTCCTCCTTTCTTCTCCTCTCTCCCCTCAATCTGGGGGTTCTGCTGCGTGCCGAAACCACGCATGAGGCACGCCGTAATAGGGGACTTATGGTTCTAGCACTCTTTGATGCGCACCTAAATCTAAGTACACTGATATTGTTGTATTTCGCTCACACGAAAATGAAAGCCGCTGTGGCCAGGATTCGAACCCATGTCCTTGAACTTAGCAGAGCGATGTTTTGATAGTGACACAATTTTTGCGACAAACTAGCTTGACTTCTGGCGACGATACACACTGTAAAGGACTGGAATCCTATGATCTATCTCATTACTGCAATTTCACTTGAAACAGTCGCATCAGTCAACGGAAGGCACCGACCAGCAGTACGGTTATAGTGGCTAGAACGGTTCTAGTACGGTCGTTGGCACAACCGAAGTGTCATAGTACAAGGTGAAACACCGAGCGGACTTCGTTCTCATTTGATTCTCTACATATCAGGCTTCTTTGACATGACCATCGACATGCGCCGGCGAGAAGACCAGCACTCGCCAGTGCAAACGTCGACAAGCTGTGCCACGCCAGCGTATCATCAACGCACCATCCAGCGCATCTAATTCCGCAGTCAACCAGAGAAGCCGGCCAACAATTGCTTGACCCAATCGGTATCGCGGCAAAACACACTTTGCGTTCACACATCATTTTCCACATATTGTTGTACACAACGGCAAGTGCCACCTGGCCATAAGCACGGCAGACTCGATACTGCAATGAACAGATTGTTTTTTCGCAGAGCGATTCATGTCCGCAATGTTACACATGTGCACATGCCGCAGCTGCGTTCTTTCAGCCAACATAGGGAACAAATCTTGTAGACCACAATTTAGCGTCCAACACCACCGTCTGTGTTGCGTCGCAAAATTTGCTTGAAATATTTCTGACATGAAGATTTCTGGGATCAGCTGTTGTAACATAGCAGCCGCCAAACTAAACCACCTACCACGGATGACGTTACCGCGTGCAACAATGAGCGGTTCAAGCCTCACTTACCTTGATGAACCATTTCTGGTAGAAAGTTATCCCGATGGAAAAGCAGTAGTACAGTAACACGAGGCCGACAGTTTGCAAGGCAGTAGCTGTGTAGCGCAGAGCATGCATCCTGTACCTGGCAGGTTGCAAAGATTGGTTCGCGGCACCATGCAAGCGCTGGTAGCCGCTGAAATGTACGTAGCGTTTCGATCCGTCGTTGGACTGCACATTGCTGGCGGTCGCTGACATCTCACGTGAGTAGCACTGCCCGCTCGGTCCCTATGCTCCGACTACGCGGACTTGAGACACGACGGCACGATCCTGACAGCAATGCGCCACACAAGCGTGACATGAGGGTATGTGTCGACGATTTTGTTCCTCACTGCGACGCGGCCGACACTTTCAACCACTGCGCGAGATAGCGAGCCGAGTTCCAACTCGAAAACCACAGGCGGCACACCGTTGATACACGCAACACTTGACGAGTATAGGGAACCAACGGATGTTGGCAGACACACACGAATTTCTCTCTCTTCAACAATTTTTTTTTTACCTAAGAAGAAAAAGAAAACAGTTCTCATGGTTGCCTGCTAAATGCTTGTTGCGCGCTAAACAAAAGTGTTTTTTTTAAACCGCTACTGCTTATATTTATTTTGCCTACAAATTTATAAACTTTTTATGCGTATATTAGTGTATATACATGCTTTTGTTATGTTTTTTAAGTTTTTAGGACTACGAGAAACAAAAACGAAACAACGGCTCGGCTGATTCAGTAAGCTCAACATCACAGCGTCTGGGCGTCTGCTTCGGGAGTTGAAGGGTGACAAGCGAGCCGACCTGACGTGTAAAATTGGCCTTTCACGAAGCACTTCGACATTTTACGAAAGTGACATAGCTCCTGACAGTCATGTCTGCAACAACTTACGTTATTGTCTTGCTGGCGGCACTACTGGGAAATGTAGCATGCGTGAGTATTTCTTCATTTCATTCTTTCTTCACCAAGGCCTGCCTTGCATGGGGCGTTCGCGATCGCTCTTAATAATCGAAAAAAAAAAGTTACGATAATTGAGCTCGAACTAAACAAATTTCTAGCTTTGGCTTTCGCTACTCAGAAGCAATTCTTTCATTTGTAGTATAGTTGTTAATGATTGTCTTTTCCGAAGCAACGCAGTTGGGGCCTGTGCAATCGTTTCGCTGCAGTCGGCGCAGTCCTCGATAGACGAACCGGTTTTTGCAAAGAGGTTCTTAGGTTTCGGGGACAGAGAACAGGACGTCTCAATTGTCCCGATTACTGGGATCGTCTTGCCAGATTACAGTTGTCTGCTTCGCTGTGAGAAGCGCGCATTTAATCCACGCATTCGGTTTTCGTTTACTTCTTTCTCGCTCACATGGAGAGAAGTTATACGCGCATCGCGAATAAGGAAGGAGAGAGTACGGTAAATTATTAAGGCCAAGACGGGAAACTCAATGTTTGTTCCTCGGTTCCTAGCCTGTCTTTCGAATGAGAGACGTGGCATTATAACTTTTTCGTTCACCAATGGCCGCCTGGGCGAAAGGCTGCTTGCACCCCTTTCCTCCTCTCTCATGGCTGGGAGGCTTTGAGCAGTGCTGCAGCGCCATGTTGCACGGCCTCTGCTCCCTCAGCCTCGCTCACCGGCTCCGTTTTCAGACAGCGAGTCCAAGGCCAGGCGAAGACGGAAGCGCGGGCGGATCTTTGCCCCGTTGCCGAAGGCGGCCGCCCCCTCCCTTCAGACGACTCCCTTGTGTCGACATTCGTCGCCGGGCCACTCTCTCCAGAATCTCCGTCACGAGAGTGGGCTGCGTGGCTACAGTTATCACCATTTAATTTAAAAAAAAATAATTGGGTTATAAAGCCCCGAATCTAGCAACGGGTCCACAGTTGCACTGGAGTAGCTTGTTACAGAAAGTGAAGACATGGTCGAGCCGGTCAACCGAAAGGACAGCCGTGCCTTCATTGCTGGTGGTGCGCTGCACTAGTTCAAGTGTGACAAACCAACTCGCCACAATCAATGCCTGTCAATGGGACACGCCGTTGTAGGCAGCTGGGCAGTAATATATTTGTTGGGCTTTACTATCCTATAACCACGATACGGTTGTGAGGGACGCCGTAGTGGAGGGCTCCGGAAATTTCTGCCACCTTGGATTTTTTTTTTTAACGTGCATTAGCACCTCGTACAAGGCTGGTTGGTACATACCGATTTTGAACGAAGAAACAGTGCAATAACAAGACGAAGACGAGAAGATACATGTATGCGTCCTCTCGTCTTGTTCTAGCGCTGTGTATTCTTTCAATGTGTAAGCACACGGGCCTCTAGCATTTTCGCCTCTATGAAAATTGCTGCCGGGATTTGCCCTTGCGACCTTTGGGTCAGCAGTAGAGCACCCTGACCACTAGACCACCCTGGCGAATAGCGGGGCAGAAGGGGTACCAAAGGAGGCATTTGTTTTAACGTACACCCGAAACATTGTATGTAGCCCCAGCGTTTTTCAATTCTGCCCCCCCCCCCCCCCCCCCATTAGAATGATGCCGCCAGAAGAAATTGAACCCGCGACCCCGTGTTCAGGAGTACCGCGCCACTGATGTACCGAGGTGGTGCTTACCAATTTGTTCAGCTTATAAATGAGCGTGCCAATACACCTAATTTGTCATTTATTGGCGCGAGCGTATTGAAGTTAGCATACGGGACTTCACAAAAGGCCGGAGCCATAGTACGCCCAGGTGAACAAGCGCTTATATTATGCTGATGTTCAAATTAATGCTTTTTGCGCTGGATCAAATAAAGAGAAATTCATTCGGAATTTTTATTTTTTGCCTCTGTATGTCTGCATCCCCAATCAGCATATATACGTATAATAACGCGTTCCCGGAGCTCTCAATTCTGCCTCGCACTTTTGTTCAGTTTGCTCAGTTCTGAGCAACACCACCTAGACTAGCTACGTAACGTCATGGTACTTGCCCGCACCGCTCGCTCCACGGTTTTGCATGTTGCGAACGGTCCCCTCTAGCGTCGAGGGTGCGCACGGAGTGAAAAAAAAAAAAAAAGTAATCTAGCGAAAGCTAGAATTTCGTGTAGGCGCTCAGTAAGATCGGGTAATTTGGTAATTTTGCCGCAGGAATACTAAGAAGCATTCACCCGCTTTGAGAAAATTGGAGCGTTGTTTAGTTATACTTTCATGCGTACTATTAAAAATCTGACGTTCCACGTATTCAATCAGATACACATTTTAAACATTCAGTCAACCTTTCTTTTTGTCGCCTTAACACACAATAGAAGCATGTCAAAGAAGATATTTTTGTATAATGTCTAATGTATAGCGCCCCCCCCCCACCCCCACCCCCCCCCAAAAAAAAAAACGAAATAGAAGCAGCACACTAAGAAAAATGTCGCTACCCCACGCACATTTCACTTCTGCCCCGCCGCGGTGGTCTAGTGGCTAAGGCACTGGGCTGCTGACCCGCAGGTCGCGGGATCGAATCCCGGCTGCATTTCCGATGGAGGCGGAAATGTTGTAGGCCCGTGTGCTCAGATTTGGGTGCACGTTAATAAACCCCAGGTGGTCGAAATTTCCGGAGCCCTCCACTACGGCGTCTCTCATAATCATATGGTGATTTTGGGACCTTAAACCGCACAAATCAATCAACACTTCACTTCTGTTTAATGTATTTGCTTTGCCGACGGCAGTTTTTTTTTTTTCCCTGGCCATCGTACTGCACTGTACCATTTTTCACTTTGCGAAAATTGTTCAACTTGGACAGTTCGTCGCTGCATTCACTATTAAGCGCATCACAGTTTCTGATGTGTGTCCACTGCAGCATGCCTCAATTTCCAGTTAATCTCTAGGCACAGTCATTGCCGCTCGTCGAACGACTCTCGGTTGGTCCGAATAAGAAATAATGCCTTTAGCAAAGCTTCCACGCGTAAGCTTTTCAACAGCAAGTTTTATAATTAGCACTGTGTTTTAACGGTAGAAAGCCAAGGTAATATCAAAACACCTCGCGTAATGTTTCTGATTATTTGCATATTCTCCGCACAAGAGCGGCGCAGCATGATTCGCATGACAGCTTTTTTAAGGCGGCATGCGCTATGCATCCTTGCTAGCTTGGACGTTGCAGATTCGCGGCGGGCAGGCGTACTCGCGAAATTAGCAGTACATTTGTGAAAAACTGTGGACACATCATCTTCCCTCAGGCGAGTTCTGTCAGTTTTAACTTCGTCTCTTTTTCCTGTAGTCTCATCGCGGTGGGTCAACGTTGTGACAGTCGCTTGCATGGAAGTGAAGCTCGCACGTCTATTTTCAACAGAGAATAATGAATAAAATATTGTAAAAGTGATTTTCTGAAAATTACCGCGAATCTATTCTCTGCGGCTTTCAGTGAAATAAAGATATCAACAGCATCCCTTTGCAGTGAATGACATCAATTGTAATTTCTATGCAATTTTTAGTAGGAATGGTTCAAGTTATTCCCTAGTGCTGTTACTAACGCTAAAGTACTATCGTCTAAGCACGAAGTACACGTAAATAACTACGTTAGGCTTGACCATATGGATTGACTGTTTGCAACTGTTCTTTGCTTAGCTACCCTCGAATGTGCGCTTGGAGTGAAATTCTTCCTTGTAGTTGCTCGCAGCCGCTAATCCTTAAATGAAGTCACATGAAGCCATGGTTTTAGTTTCAACAGCGATCTCAACAGAGGCCTCTGTCACTGGAAGCGCGTCGTGCGGCTCAAAGACCACGTGCGGCTGAAAGAATCTCTCCAAAAGTAAAGTTGCAGAGCGGTTCACTTCACGATATACTATCACATCATTATCACAAACGCTTAATTACATAGTGTCACTAGCCAACAAGTGCACAGCCTCAATCAATATTCAGAAGAAACGCCGAATAAATACAAAGCGTGTGCAGTACGTGCAACTTCGCTAAGACAGAATGTACGCCGAGAAGACAAGGTGAAATGGGTAAACCAATGAATGCGGCAGAACGTTTTTTTAATTTTTTTTATTTAAAAGGTTGTTTTTAGCAGGACTACTAGTGTGACGTAAGTGGAACGAAGGTGGTGGGGTTCTGAGCACGCAAGGCTTTTTTTTTTTCTCTCTCTCTCTCCAGTATAGCCACCGCGCGTTTGTCGAAAATGTCTTTGCCCTGTACCTTCTCAAATTCATCATTTGCAAGGAAACTCGTTGCGTGTATCTGTGGCGAAATCATCTGCGGCGTTGGGTTTCTTTAGCCTGGTAGCGCCTCGGCCTCGAATGCTGCTAGACAGCCGAATGATTGCGATCTTTCGGCTCTCTGGTAATGCGAGCTGGGTCTGCAACTTCTGCGCATACAGCCGAGTCGGATTGCGGCGGCCAATACACGGCTATAGTCAGCGTTAGATACGGGAATGGCGACGGGATGAAAAATCGTAAAAGAAAAAATAACGAAAACCGCTGACGGGGTCTAGAGAAAGGACGTTGCATGCCATGCACACCCTTAAAGGACGTGATAATGTCGAGAAAAAAAAAGTGCGAAGATGGGGAGTCGCGTTTTTCAAGATAAGAATGATCAGTACAGGATCGCGATGCAGTCTAGTAAACCTATCGCCACGGCAAGAGCAGGGAGTATCGAGCTAATCGGGAATATGAGAAATTTCCAAAGCACATGCGCATGGGTGACGCCAGAATTTATTTACATTAGGAGGGGGGAGGGAAGCGCACCTACAACGAGCGAGTTCCTTTAGGGGGGCAGGTAGTCTGGGAACTTATGCGTATTTTGACTACGCTTGCTTTTTTTTGGGGGGGGGGGGGGAGGCGGAAATTTTGGGAAGTCACCAGCCCTTTCGAACTCCCAGCTGGGTGCCGCCCCTGCACATGCCGCGTATCCTATGCGCGTAATGGCGGAGCTGTAGCTCGCTAGCTGCCACGTAGCCGTTGATGTTGAGGGGGCTGTCATGCAAAGGGTAGCCGA